TGGACTTAGTTACATTCATTGTGAGGTTATTTTCTATCGTTTGACAGATACATCGATAGCCACGTTTATTTCAATAAACTGACAAATTTTTATAATTGTCATTTGGGGAGATGAGAGAATTCATAAAAAAAAAGTAAAGTAAAAAAAGTAAAGCTATCCCTGTAACAGGCCATGAAGGCCCATAGGGTTGTGAGACGTTGAGGGTCCCACATTATCCAGACAATCGGCTCAAAGATGGCGGTAAGGTTGTCAGCCTTACGCTCCGGCCGCGCTTTACTCCCCACGAAAATTATTTAGTTAATTCCTGGTACTCATTTCTGAGTGAACCCCAGGGCCATAGTGCTAGGGTGATTAGATTTTTCAAAACAGCATGTGAAGAAAACTAACATGTCCGTAACATAAAACATTATTTAGATTATAAATATTTTGTATGAATCAACTTTCGTTTTCCCCCTTTGCTTGTAGAAATATGCGTAAAACGCATTCTTATATTCATTTAAATAGCTATACTAAAATAAGTTTTCATAGACTTTCAATACCGAAGTTAATAAAATTACCATCCATCTAAGCTGTACAAGAAGTCGAAAGGCCACGGTGAAACGAACTGGTGCTGAGGCAGTATTGCGAAACATGCATAATTATGTGACTGTTGACTTGCAGCAAAGATAAATAAAAGTGTGGGCAATAAAAAAAATTGACCTTACATTCCTTGTATTACTATAGTATGACCAATAATTATTCACAGAATTTCTCCTTCAAAGTAAACGGCGAGTTGAAACAATTTACTCTATATCCGATGCATTATTTCATCGCCTTAGCACAGATTCCTCTTACAGTATGTTCTAGAAATGGAAACCGAACACTTTCCTCCATCTTTAAGCAATTTTAAACCAAATTCATGCATGACTTCGTAGACAGCGAAGATTAAAAAACTAACAAAAAGTCTCCTACTGCAGTAATGAAACCATTTCTTCCCTTAATTTCTACTCGTATTTTTCTTTCAATAGCTCTTGCCTTTGTACTGTATATGTAGCATTAACGTGAGTGCCTATAGGAACAACTGCATACGGCCTTCCGCCTGCGGATTTGGAATAACCTCAACAAATCTTCGCTGTGAAATATTCTGTGTTACAAAACTTTCAATACAGCTTTAATAAGGGGGCCCATACACGTACAAGTCTGGCTCGCGAGTCCGGCTCGGGTTCCAATTAGCCAAACTCGTCCGTGTGTGCGTCGCCACGCTCATACGTGTGTGGTGAAATTAATTTGAGCCCGGCTCCTCGCCGAGCCGGACTCGCAAGCCAGACTCGTACGTGTATGGGCCGCCTAAGGAGGCAGACTGCGAAGAAGAGAGGTTGATGGGTCTCTCTGATACGTGGCATTATATAAACTTTAGATTCTGCTGTCAATGTGTTTGATGAGTTTAGACCTTCTGTGAAGTTTTAAAAGTTTTCTGTGTTCGTCCGAGTTTTGTAGTTCACAGCAAGAGAATACAGAAAACAAATTGTAGTAAATACGGTGACCGATTTCGATGACTAATTTGTTATTTTTTAGCACTTACAATAACAGGAGAACGCGGTGGCGAAGTTGGTTGAGGCACTATGCTAAACGCCAGAAAGTCGCGAGATCGATTCCCGATAAAGTAATTGGATTTTTCAATTGACCTAATCCTTCCAGCGACACTATGGCCCCGGGTTCGACTCAATCTCTAAATAAAATGAGTACCAGGAGTTTTCCTGAGGGTAAAAGCGGCCGGAGCGTAACGCTGACAAATCTACCGCCATCTGTGAGCCGATTGTGTACAAAATGTTGAGTCTCGACATCTCACAACCCTACGGGCCTTCAGAGCCTGTTACAGGCATAGCTTTACTTTATTCTTTTTAGCCTTACACAAATATGTTACTCAGTTTCTTTCATTCTTCCACCCTCCTTATGTTCGATGTAACTTCTCTCAGATTCTATACCCAATTTCCTGGCATATAAAACATATCAAATGCTGAATAATTCTAAGTAATTTTGAACCTCATAAATACCCAAGCATGCAACCCTTAACCCATATCATTTGCATAAAATTAATGTTACAGCGTATCTACAAAAGTTATCCAAACACGCACTAACCTCACCCCTTCCTTTGTTTATTATAGACGAAGATTGCTCTTCCATTATCCACTGAAAAGAGGTGACTATACCCAATGCTTTTGTCATCAATTCTTCCGGTGCACCACATATGGGTAGAGCAACTTTTACATATTACAAAGAGTGCTTAAAAACTTGTTAATTTCTCTGTAGAGAGTGAAAGCCAAGCATATGTACTTTTTGTTCCTTCGGCACCGGTTTTCAGCTTGATAATAGTGTGAAAATTAAATTTCACCGTGATTAACTTCTGCAAAAGATCCTACGCACGTGCCAAGAACAAATTACTGCTCATTAGACGGGAACACCGGACTCAAAAGCTTCTGTCTACAATTTACTGAAGGACGACACGTTGTCACACTGTTATTACCTCTTCAAGAAGCTTTGACATTTTTTCAAATCTCATAAGATTTTATGAGTTCTGTATCTAGGTCTACGCTTCATTTCTCTACTTTCGTACAATTAAAATAAACCATAAACCTATTATATTAATTAATATGAAGGCCACGAAGCAAATTAAAAAAAATGTTTATAATATAAAATGGCGAACTATAAGAACGTTATCTGGATGATGTTACTAGTTAGTTATGGAAACAGAACAAACCGAACACCTCCATCTTCAGGGTAGAAGGAAAAAGAAGAAACTCCGCAATGGAGAAACCGGCGCGAGCAAGTGTTCACTCAGTGAGCAATACGTTCGTCCGAAACGTCGGTTAACACAATAAGTACACGGCGCCACATCCCAGAAGACTGCTTTCCTCAGTGTTCGGTTTGTTCTCACTAACTGAGCACTTGCTCGCGCCGGTTCCTCGCTTGCGGAGTTTCTTCTTTTTTCTTCTACCCTGAAGATGGAAGCAATACGTTCCTCCGAAACGTCGGTTAACACAACATCTATACGGCGCAACATCCCAGAAGACTGCTTTCTTCATAGACACCGCCGTGACAACCTCAAATCTTACAAACCGAACACTGTCCGCATTAGCATCGACCACAGAAGCTAAATGTGGCCAACTCCACAACACTTTAAAAAACACAGCATCATGCAGAAATTACAGTGTGAACCTACATTAACGACATTCCAAAATCCGTCATTAGTGACAGCCTTGATTACTAGTAGCTTTTTTAAATCCGTAAGTCCAGCGTGCACCGTCCACGGGAATTATCATAGTCGGCTATAAACAACAGACATCATCAAAATCAACAACAACAACATACGTTTCGACAACCTTGGGTATTTCTTAGATCATCCTCCACGATGTTAAAAATACAAGTGAAGTGTGTATAGTACAGAAATGGATCTACTTAGGCTTGTGTGAGACCTGAGGTTATCACAGCGGTAACTCATAAGATTGCTGTCTTCTGGGACATGACAAGTGTAGTCTGGTAGAAAGTTATAAAAGGCATCTGAGAGTGGAGGCTGCAGGTTATTCCGAAGCATAGCAAAGATCTACCAGATTATATGGCGACAAATCCCAGAACACGGTAATCTTCGACTGTCCTATGTTTGCTAAAATAAAATACTAAACTAAACTCCGTGGCTTTTAGTTCGCAAGCCAACTATACCGACCGAGCCAACTTTTTGCGGATAGAGGGTGTCGACTGGTCAGCGCAACGGATCCCCACGGCCGTTAATCTCGGTTCTCCAGACCAGAGCCGCTATTTCCTTGAAACAGCTCCTCAATTATCCTCACAAGGCTGAGTGGCCCCCGTTCCAGACCGACTACTTCCCAGAAAATCCGGTAGCACCGGGAATCGAACCCGGGCCCTCTGGATCTGTAGCCAGGAAATCTGACCACAGACCACAGAGGCGGCCGTCCTGTGCTTTGATAACATGTCTTAATTACGGCCAGGCCAGATGAAGTAACTTCTTGTAAAGAAGACCAAAGAATGCAGACGTAACAAATTGATTATTATCCCAACTTATTTAGCGACCTCGCTTAACTCCGGTAGCCCTAATCTCACCTTGTGTAGACAGTACCGTATTAGATCAATGATAAGGCTTTAAGCTTCATGTTCACCTCATGTTAAAGGTGCGACATTCAGTTTCCTCTTTCCTGCGGTTTCTGAAAACGGAGTAGCTGTGGATTCCGGATAACCTTATGGACCAGTACGGTACTGGCTGTAGGAGGAAAGCTTGTTTCAAGAATGCGCGTTTCTCTAATCATAAGACCTACCCTTGAATAACATAAGACGAACCATCACACATAAGCTGCACAAAGCTCTGTTTTTGCTACACGCCGTATTATGAATTACAATGCAATTTAAACTGCAAGTGAAGGGCTCCACAAAATTCTCTCACACAAGTTATCTCAGACCTACTTATCTTAGATTCTCATTCATCAGCAACATTTTCGCCCTACTGTTGTGTTTAGTCCGTGGTGTGGTTTATCGGTTTACCTAACACTTCAGCAATGTTGAACAGCTGTAAGTAAATTTTCTTCTGTTCAACAACAGTGTGTATACTCAGTTTTGTCTTATAAACAAGCTCGTCATGTCTGTAGGTTATTTCGGACACTTTTCAAACACTCTTTCGTGTTTCCTGTCAGATCACCGACCGTCACACTGCTTCGTAGTACCAGCGTCAATGAGTTATGCCAAACAGGAAACATGAAAAGGTGTTTGAAACCGTCTAAAATACAGACATATGGAGCGGGTTCGAACATCGGAAAGTAACCGGGCTTGCGTCGAAAGCTGCCCCTCCAGGCAAACACCATCACAGTACAATAAAATAAAACACAGCCGCCTATTCTCACGTTCCTGTTCATCATATGTGCCTACTGTGCATCATTCTATCATAATTTATGTTATCACGTCACCTGAGGAGGTGCTCAGCACTGTGAAGTAACCTAATGAACATACAAACTTACCAAACTGCGGCGGCGGTTCCGAAGTAGTAGAGCAAGAGGAAAACTACAGCGCAATTTGCGTTTATGTGTCCGTCCTGCGACAGTAGGAGCCTGGAAGGATTTTGAGTGTCGGGGCTACAAGCGACAGCTGTACGTCCAGCCGCGGCCCGAACCCCCCATCCCACACTAGCCAAGTTGTAGCAGAGTGCCAGAAAGGCAAGGGGGCGCTCTGGATATCGAAACCTCGCTTGTCCTCCGCCTGAATCAACCAGGAACGTTAGCACGGCAATAAGAGAGGAAATGAAACAGAGTCCAGCCCATACGGACAGCCAAACTTCAGCCAGGTACTTGTCTGGGCTCTCAAACAAGACGTCGGCATCACAAAGCGGGTTGCACCGTCTCGTGCGATTTACATACACATAACGGTTATGGCGCACGTAACGAGAACAGGGTGTAACACTGGAAGTTCGTGATATAGTTGGGATTCTCGAGATGGCTGGCGTCGCGGCATCAGAAGACACAAGTCCAGTCCGCGGTCCAACCCCCACTTCACCGGGCCCTTCCATACACATGTGTTCGTGGTTATTCTCCAATGGAAACTTGGAACAGTTCAATGCAGCTGGCCAAGGGAATCCAAATCCCTGTAAGACAGGGTAACAGCGGGCTCTCACTGATTCGCACAGTCCACGACATGGTCCAATGGGTGAAGCGACCTTCTCCGTGCACATGGGTACATAGACGGAACACAGAAAGAAGTGGAGCTGTGCCGAACAGCCGTACTGGATCAGAGGAGAGAATGTCTGAAGAGTGAAATCGGCATCGCCTTGTATTTCGTGGCCCACAAGGTTAGGCATTCCAGTTACGTTGTAGCCGAGACCCCAACATAGTTCCACACGTATGGGTTCACAAGTTCGCAATGTCGTAGCTTCCCCCTTTACAGTTAACACCATAATCACTGTCAATAAATACACAGAAAACATGACGCAGCGCGGAGCCATAGCGGCCCGGCAACCGCGCAGCTAACGTACTCACTGCCTTCTACGCAAGCACTGAACGATCTGGACGATCTGGACTAAACCGCGCCGAGAGAAGAGGCCGTCTGTGGCCTGGCGTGAAGTGCGAGCAGTGCTACCAACACCTGCACATCCATCTGTCAGGAGTAGTACCTATGGCCTGTTAGGTCCAAGCTGTGCAGCATTCTGAGTTTCAGGATTGCATGCAGTCCACGGAGACTGAGTCTATAACTGCACTCACGAATGGTTGGTTTCGCATGATCTGAGAGAATGCTGCTCTTCTGAGAAATGAAAAGAAAGAAGTGCTCGTAGCCTATTTAAAGATGTTGTTTAGGTGTTCGCCTGGAGCGTCTGAAAACATCCATCAGAATCCTGTCAAAATAACTGATCCCTCGACTATGGCTTGAACCAAGTATTTTCCGAATATGAATATCAAATGCTAAAATACTATCTTGTAACAGGCCACGACAGCTTCCTGCCATATTTTTCCAAGTTGAACGTGATTTTCTGACCGATCCACGCTACAATCATATACGTCACTGAATGAATCAAGAATGAACTGTAGGTTCACGTGTTACTGTTTCATTTTCGGTAACTCTGGTAGGCCTATGACCGTAAGCCAACTCAGTTAACCCATTATGTTCTTCAACAGGTTACCAAAAGCGATTCGAATTACGATGGACCATGGATGTCTGAAATAGTAGGGCTGACCTTTACCCACACTCTCCGAACCATAGGGTTTTACCCTTCTGAGCCTACATAAATTCCTATCTTATGCTTCAAAATCTTAATATTTCAAACAGCCTACTTCCAGCATTCAAAAGTTCGTTGGATATTAACGGGTATATTAGAATGTTAATGTATTTTAGGGCCATTCGACTTGAAATTTAAATATTTCTTTCATTCGACAAGACGCACCGTTACCTTTAATGTGATCGCCCTCTGATCGAAATCAATGTTATTACTATACGCACACACACACACACACACACACACATATATATGTATATATATTCCAGCCTTCGCGAAATAACTGATAAATATTAATTTTAATAACTATCTTCAGTTTAGTTTCGATGAGTTATAAATAATTAATCAAAATTAATTCATTTTAATGTCAGTATTTAAGGACATTGTTTACGCCATATTCCTATAAAAATTGAAAATATAAAATGCATATTGATGTAGCTAAATATTAATTGTTGAATTTTCTAATTGCATTAATGTCCCCTGAAGAAAAGGCGCTCTGTTGCGTAGGCATACAGCCTGTAGAGCAATCCTGACGTAATCCACTCGCTGGTGGTCTACTTGATAAAACTGTTAAAACATTAACAGGATCAAAAATTCAACACACTAAATTTCATGTCTTATTTAATATCGCTATACAATCTTCAGAGAGTGTAAAGATAGGCCTACATAAATGTAAGTTTAATGCTCTTGTGCAACGGTACAGGATTGCTAGATATGGCGAAAATTCATTAAAAAAAATCTACCCGTTTACCTGCAGAAATATGAGTCCCGGTTCATACTGACAGATGACCTGGGTGAATCCCACAGCCAGTATGGTAAAAAGGGGAAAAGAAAATTTTTAAATTATAAATTTGTGTGTATCTCCCTCTCGCTTACTAAATCAAGGTTACTAAATAGAACCTATAACGTATTCCCACGCATATTAGGCTGTCCAAGATAGGCCTGTTAGAAGCTGATTTTTTTTTCATCCTTAGGCCTATCACTCGTGGCGGTAAGGACATAGAGAACAACTATTTTTTAAAACTAATACAAAATATTCCTTTTGCGTGAGTAATTTAACAGAAATAAACTTGACGAAATAAATGCAAAATGTATTAAAAGGTAAAGTTGTCCCAGTGCTTAACTAATTAAGCACTACTCCATGAAGGAGTATTGGGGAGTGGATGTATAGATCCACATTTTCTTGACCTCGGCACTAGTTGGAGGTGAGTGGTAAGCTTCACGCACCTACCGCTTTACCCCCGGGAAAAGCGCCCCCGGTACCCATTGGATTGGAGGCTGAGTAGGCCCCAGAGCCGGTCTGGACGACGTGGAGAATATAAATTCTTGACCCTACCGAGACTCAAACTCCGACCCCTCGGCTGTTCAGCCCGTAACCAGTCGCTATACTGACTGCGCTATCCCGGTTCCCTTCAAAATGTATTAGAAATCAAAATATCCGGAAAATTGACACAGGTTAGCATGCTACACATCGAAAGTGCCTTCATCGGTCCTTGTTGGACGGGGGTTCCCATAACGTAAATTTCCTAAGGCATTGCTTTCGTTTTGCTATCACAAACAGTTCAAACAGTGTTGTGCAGTTTGCCTGGAGACGAAGGAGGTATGTGGGCAACCTAAAAGATAAAGGAAAACAAATTGAGAAATGAGCCCGCCCTCGCTCCAGCTTCGCTAACTTCACAAGTCTTTACTTTGGATATTTAAGTAAAGTCTCCATAGATGTCGTTAGTCTGCTCTCCTTATTATGCATTCTTTGCAAGATGTGCATGAAATAAACGCACATAGGGCTGGTCGTGTGTGTCCGCCTGTTTTATCTCAGGAACCGCTTGACGAATTTTGATGAAATTTTGTGTGAACAGTGTGCCATTGAAGGCTACCACAGAAACGTAGTTTTTCATATTCCGTAACATACAACGCCAACATGACGGGCGTACGAACTCGTGGAGTGGAAGTAACAAAAGTGACAAAAATTAGGGGCGTGAAATTATGGTGTTAACAAATCTTTGAAAAATATATTAGCCTTTTGTGTAGAACGTGAGACAGTAAGGTATTGGCTGAATAAAATCTATATTTAGTTTTCGGACTATTCGTGTTAAGTACTAATCCGTTGGTGTTTTATAGAGCAATTATTATGGAAATATATCATACACAAGTCTACAAATTCTGTACTGAATATTGCTTTAGGCAAAAAAAAAAACAAAAACGAAAATCATGAAGACGGTGCGATTATTTGATGTTATGCGCGACAAATTAATTTTTTTCCCTTAGGAAAAAAAATACTAAATAAATGGTACTTAATACTGTTAGCATGTTCGTGAAATCCATTTGTAACAACTGGGAGCATTTAGAACGCAAAGATGTAAGGAAGACAAGCGAAAACCCCGTATGGTACGGATTACATACTTCCAATCTCATTTTTATCAGTTTACAATTAATATAAATGGGACAATGCAATACCTAAAGTTTATATTTGATATACGCAACGCAACAGCCAAATCTATGCATATAAATGTAAAGCTAGAATGAATAATTATTAAAGTATGTTTTTTTTTGTAGCCTCTCCATACAGATTAAAGAATTTGAAAGACAGGAAGACCTATGAGTTTCTTCAGTTGGTTGAGGCACTATGCTACAAGCTGGAAGGTCGCGGGTTCAAGTCCCATTGAAGTCATTGGATGTTTTTCAATTGACCTAATCCTTCCAGTCGCACTATGGCCCTGGAGTCGACTCAGCGTCTAATAGAAATGAGTACCGGGAATAATTTTCCTGGGGAGTAAAGCGCGGCCGGCGCGTAAGGCTGACAACCTTACGGCCATCTTTGAGCCGATTGTCTAGATAATGTGGGACTCTCAACGTTTCACAACCCTATGGACCTTCACGGCCCGTTACAGGGACAGCTTTACTTTTTTACTTTACTTATTTTTCGTACCAATCTATGTATTGCTATTTTCTTCTAGCATGAATCACAGTTTCCATGTCATGAAAATGTTTTATTGACGGTATTTAGTTATAGCAACGATCTTTAGAGGCAAACTTGAGTCACTTTTATACCATGGAGTGAAATAGGGATTCCTTCAGAGGATGTTTTGCGAAATGGCGGCCCGTGTTTTATATTATGATCGTTGATCAACCGATAATAGCGACAGAGAAGGTATGTAATTAATTAAACAAATATGTACAATATGTTAAACTATGGAACAAACATATTAAATGTTAAACAAATGAACTCCGCGCAGAGCACTGCCACTTAAACACTAGCTGCTACCATGGAGACAGGGTTCGATCCATATGAACGTAGTGGTACTGAAGAAAGTTTTCTCTGAGTGTCTTCTGTTTCTCCTTGCTAATCATCATTCCTCCATTGTTCTACACTCATCAAATACAGACACCGGAGGTGAGCAGTAGCTGTGACGAGGCATCACATTATCAGATCCTTGGTCTTGATGTTGGAGGCTTTACCTTTGACTTCGGACTTGACAAGTGAGGAAGTTAAGTTCGTAAAAGAAAACTTACGTTAATTTTATATGATCAGTTAGTAAATAAAAGAACAAGTTTCATGCTTCAAACTGACTTTGAAGCAGTATTGTGAGCAGTTATGAGGCATATTTGCTCAAAACAGGGATTGTGGAGCCAGAAGAAACAGCCATTGCTAGGCCACAGCTGTGTAAGTAAGAAACAATATCAGAGACATCACTAAGCAACGTGCGCATGCAACAATGGAGGAATTATTGGGAGCGGTGTTTACTGTGCAGCCCTTTTCATAGACTTAGACCCCCTGAGGCTCATCTTAGACTGAATGGACGGAATATCCCCTTCGTCAATCTTGTGAAATATCTCGGTGTAATCTTCGATAAGAGGATCAGATGAAGAATGCACATAGAAATGATTGAAGCAAAGGTCTTCAGAACGTTTATTAAAATCTACTCCCTATTCAAAAGTGAGAGTTTAAGCACATACATTAAACTAACTCTTTATAAGGCACTGATCAGGACAGTAATGGCTTACGCTTGCTCTGCCTGGGAATTGGAGGCAAGACACCTATCATTTCAAATTGCAACGCCTGCAAAACAAGGCTCTTCGCACCGTTGGAAATGTTCCAAGGTGCACACCGGTCCGCGATTTGCACATGGCTTTCAACTTCCCGTATGTATACGATTATATAGCAAAGTTGTGCAGGCGACAAGCAGAAATCATACAAAATCATGAGAATGAACACGTTCGCAGTGTAGGAGAAGGCGAAGCCAGACGTAGAAATTATAAGCGTCTTAAACTTGGTGGTGGTCAAACTTACGACCATTCAAGTGACTAAGCTGCCGTTGTAGCGTAAGATAAGTAAGATATGCACG